GATGCGATGTGAGTTCAACACAGCCTACAAGGCAAACTCCACACTTGCGCATGCCTGCCCATTTCAATTCTCGTATTTTACGCGTCTGGTACTAGGTACTTTGATATCAGACTTGGTCCTATCCCTCCATTCACGTATCAGGGCAATGTCACGGCAAACCACATCAATTTCAAGCAAAAAGTCTCGCATCATGCGCACAAACAAAAGCCAAGTAAAACAGGCTTGATTGCAAGCACCACAACACAACGTCTTATTCACAACAACACTGTACCCTGTATGCAAGTCGCAAAAAGATCCCAAACGCCAGCTTTCCCAAACGCCGTTTCCCTCGCCCCTCCCTGGGCTTGTTCCTTGTTCGCTCCGTCAATTCCCATTGTCCAAGTCCCCTCATTTCCGTCAATTCCGCAAAGCATGGTACGCACCGCCTTAGTATATAAGTCCTGGGCGCTTTTGCAAGCTTGTCCTTCAGTATAAAACACCAGTCTTCAGAATAGCCCCCGACAATTATAGATAAAAAACAGAACAAGACAAATCCTAGATAGGTACAAGTTCAAAATCCGTAGCACACCCATCGACGCCAGCCCTGGGCGCGAATGCTCCGACCATAGCTAAGAGATATGCAGGCACGCCTCGTCTAGGCCTCCAAGTGACCTAGCCGATCGACGGGATGAGGGAGAGCGTTATCCGTTGCATCATAAGTTCATCCGAGTAGCGACGACGCTGCTGGTCGGCCAAGACAGAGAATATCGAGCATCACACATAACGTTCGTCACAATCCCCATGTCGTCACTGCGAGTTCATAATGAGCGGAATTCAAAGTTTGTGCGGCTCAATCACATCCTCAAAACACGTCTTCATCAGTCCATTCGCTGCCGGAAATGATTCGGTTACCATCGTGATCAATCATGACTGGTGCTGCTGCGTATGGTGTCCCTGGAATGCCTCGTAGGCGTTTGGCCTGGCTGCTTGTAGGTCCATGGCCCTGCTCGGGCTCATACCTCTTGCCACGCGCAGCTCGGAGCTTGTTGTAATAGTCTTCTGAGACGTCTTCTTCTGGCTCGCTGTTATCATCGTATGTTTCCCAGTTCTCAGACCCGGAAATGGCAGTCGATGTGTGTGAATTGTTTGACAGTTGCCTCGAAGGCGCTCCTTGTGGGTATGCAGAGCGTGGTCCGCGAATTGTTGCGTAGCGGTCATCATAGCGATCGTCATAACGGTCATCATAACGGTCGTCATATGCATCCTCGTAATATACTGGCTGTGTGTGGTTGGACAAGTTAGAATTGGATCGCCCACCCCGGGAAGGTTGAGCGCCGTCGTCGTAAACATCCTCGGGCTCAACTTGGCGCACAATGCTCGAACCAATGCCTGTTCCCTTGTACGGATTCTTTGGTGTCTGTAGTTCGGGAACTGACTTCAAGTCACGCATCTTTGGTGGCGGAGCACGGACTGGCGCTCCGTTTCGAAGAGTCTCTGCCCTCGACTCTGGCCGTGATGGACGCTCGGGAGAATTGCCGCCCGTCTTCAAGTTCGACAGGGGAACACGAGCGGGAATCCTCGACGGACTTTGTCTGCCGGATATCGCATTGGTCTTGCCTGGCGATTGCATTTTCTTTGTAGCAGTTCGGCCCGCCGCCGTCGGAGTCTTGGTCATGGAGCGAGGCGGTACAGTCTTTGTGCTAGGGACTCTTGTGAGACCTGCTGATTTTTTCACCGTCGACGGAGGTGCTTTTGCTGGAGTTTTGGATCGTGCAACAGGGCCAGCCCTCTTCGTTTCTTCTAGTTCTAATTCGTCGAGATAGCGCTCTCCGAATACCAAAAACGGTCGACCATATTCGTCCTCCCATCTTTCGAGCATCTTGCGGACTTCGGCTGACACCTTGGGCAGTTCCTTGGCTATCCGCTTGCGCATCTTTTCCTCTCTCAGAAGCTTTCCGGGGTCTCGCTTCTCACCCTTTTGGCCGCGCATCATGAGGCGAGAAGCATCTTGGCTCGATGCTGCGAGGTCGTCCCGGTCCTTGATCAGGCTCTTGTGCTTGTCGACCACGGCCAAAATTGGCGCGCGTTGCTCTTTGAGTGCCTCTAGTCGTGCGACCTCGCGCTCGTGCGCCTCCAATAGGGCGTCACTATATACGTCGGAAAAGGCCGGAGTGAACTCAAGCATCTCGTCTTCCGAAAAGTAAAGCGAATCCCACAGTTCCTGGAGCTTGACGCGAGAATCTTCAACAAAGAGGTGAAGGTTTTGTCTCTTCAGTTCGTTCAGGCGCGCCAATTCGTCTTCGAATTCATTGATTTGACGGACACCGCATCCTCTGTTTTTGTTGAGGAAAATCTTAGTTTCGCCTTCATCGATGCCAAGTTTCAGCCACAAGGCCTCGACAGCGGATTTGAGGTCCTTTAGTCTCCTCTCGCGGTTCTTCTTCTCGTCCGACAGGCGATCTCGCTTCGTGTGAAGCCTGTTGAGATCTTCCTGGTGGAGACCAAGCTGCTCAGGCGCATCTCTGTAGTACTTAACAATCGCGCCGTCTTGCTGAGCTTGAGGAACGCCAAGTTCCGCCCAAAGTTGGATAATCTGGTTGGACAATGCCTGTACCGAAGCAATACGGCGCATATATTCATCATAGACCCGGGTGAACTCAGCATCCAGCTTCTCGACGTACGTGTTGGAGATGTCGAAAGTGGTCGGGAGGGATTGGTTTGGCCCCGTGGGCGGAAGCGCGATCTGGACAAAAGTTGGCTCGAGATGTGATGAGTACGACTCGAGGGCTTCGACGAGCGCTGTACCGAACATTAGCATGACAAGACGCGTTGCCGGAACGTGACAAAAATCCTACTTTTCACCTGCTCGAAGCGTTCCTTGTGCAGACGACTTATCTGAATGTGCTTCTCCCGTAGGCCCTGCACGCAGCGGTTCAGAGGGTAAGTGATTTTGAACTCTTCGTCCTCCTGGTACTCTCCTCTCCGAGGCTTAGAATCGTCCAGCGACGCTTCCATTTGTCGGATGGTTGTGATAATCTTCTTGGCCTCATCAATCATGTCCTTTTTCTCCGTCGTGACCAGGCGCACTTGGCTATTGAGTGCTTCTGACAGAGCCGTGAAAAGCTGCGAATTGGTCAGCCATGCTTTTTTTTTTTGCAAGGGATTGAATTGGAGATGCAAAGACCGAGGAGAACTACCTCTGACTCCCGAGCCTCGCGCTCATGATTGGGGACTCCAATCTCGTCAAACAGGCCATGCAACTGCGCAATGCTGCTATTGACCTGCTGGGCCAGGTAACTGGTGTCCATGATTCTCGTCGCGTCACGACAAAACGGCGGTATACCTGGGCAAAGGTGACCCTGTGCAGCGTGTAGATGGCGAAGGTGGGATGCAGATATTGATTGTTTTTTTGACTGGTATGCGCGCGCTGGATTTCCCGCAAAGTGGCGCTCTCGTCTGTTCCCAGTCTGTGTCTGTGGGTTGCCTGCAGTTCTAGCTGCGGTCTGTGTTTACCTGGCGATGTGGTGTGTGGTTGCCGCAGTCAGTCCGTTCTGGCGTCGGCGTAAAATCATCATATACCGCCTATCACGAGGGTTGGTGATGCATCCGAATTGGCGGTTGAATTGTGAACTGTAATAAAGCTATCGCTTGCGAACAACAGAGCGTGAGAAACAAGAGATGTGAGAAAAGCCCTGTTGAATGGTTTCGATTGGCCATGAGGCCATGTTCCACTGTTGTTTGGCCGTGGGCCATCGAGCTATCGTTCTGTTGCCATGACAACAACGCACCTTGCCCCACTCCCCAGACTCGACAACCTCGGGGCGCAAGTCGATGGGCCTAAATCAACCAATTGTTGGATCAAAGATGGGCGCGCAGCCAGGGAAGACAATGCGAAGACGACCGAACGATCAGCCTTTATTAGTCTGGTTGACTAGTTGTTTCAGATTTCGATGCCCCTCTTTCCACCGATTTGGTTTGCGGGGTGTCTATTGGTCGCTATTGCGCCTGCGTCGCTTGAATTCCTACAATTTACTCGACCTTGTGCAGCCATGCTTGCCGCCTGCTCAAGTAATACCTTTTTTTCGAGACGGATTATCGTGCTGTGGCAGAACACGTGCTTCCGAGGACTATTCAAAGGAGAGCGTTATACCCCTCTGTATGCGCCTTGCATGTTTGTTTTGTCTGCGTCATCATGGTGGGCGTGTGGCTTGAGCTGACACGAATTCCACAAGTCACCCGACCGTGCTCTCTTGTTTTGATGGCATGATACTATTACTCATGAGGGATGCCTTCAGCGTGAGATGTATTCCCATGTTGAAGGAGCTCAGTAATCGTCCTATCCATTCCGAAAACTGAAGGAAATCATTCGAGTTGGGCGGCTCGAAATAGCCATCTGCAAATGACAAATGGCGAGCTCCATTTCCGAGCAAGACGGACTAAATATCCTGCCGTGTAATGTCGTACGTCTCTTATCCAGAGAACGTCTTGGCGGTTTCTCCTATCTTGGATGCAGGCTCTCTGGTTTCGGGCAACATCACAGGATCAACTTTGTCCGCTGCATCAACCAGCTACCCTACAAAAACGAGGTTTAACGGCCTTTGACTAGAAGCGTTGCATGTCTGGCAGCGCAGTCCTTGACCATGCTCCAGCGCATGTCCTTCAAAGCGGAAGGGTAAGGACCAGTCGCTGACCTGTGAAGGCAGGTCATTCATCCAATTCGATTCGAGGTGCTTGTTGGTAGCTGCTGGAGTCTCAAAACCTCAATGTCATTGCATCTTATCCTGAATGTAACCCATAGACAGGATTTGGAAGCGTCTGCGGGTTTCCGATATATCGAAATTCACACAAAATTTGGTCAGTTATTCATGTTACTTGAGCACATACATAGAGAAGACTGGTCTCTGCCAGCATATAACTTGTCAGTGCTCTGCTAACTATCGACGGAGAGGCCTTTTGGCTGGGCCAGTTTATATCCGGCTCATGAGCTTTCGTAAAAATCTATCTACACCCCCATCCACAACTTAAATGGGACAAACACAGTTGCCTTTGCAGCAAGGGGCGCTCACAATGTTCACCGTGAGCTCGCCCTTACTAACATCATTCCCTGGCTGGGTAGGAATAGAACCACACTGTGAGCACTTGTGGTCAACAAGTCCCTGCAGCTGACCAGCGGCATCATTCGCCGTGCCGCTCGCACCGTTTTGGTAGAAGGCACAGATAGATGAGTACTGGCCCTGAGCACAGGCAAGTTGGACTGTGTTTTCATTAGCAACTCTGCGCATATGATGTCTCGCCAAGGAATGTAGTAATTCCATCATGATCATGAATAGGGGCTCCCGACTTCAGCCTCGAGGCGGCAACTTACCTCCCGTGTTGTAATGATGATTACCGTTGCCTTGAGCCTGAATCTGTTTGACTTGTGTCAAGACATCACTCAGCTTGGCATTGTTGAATGTGCAACCACCCGAGCCGCGGCAGTTGATGCCGAGAGCGGCGGCACTGGCAACAAATGTGGCGATGATGCTGAGAGATACCATGATGACGACTGACACAGGAATAGTAGTATATGTTAAAGGAGGGATGGTTGATGGACACAGCTCTCGGGAACAGGGACGAACTGTTATATAAGATGCTACAGGAGCAGAAGCGCCTTCTCTCGGAGAACAGAGAAGAAGCAGGCCGCAGACTAAACAGCTCAACAGAGAAACCCAAAAAACAACCTTTACCGCGGTCGGATGACATGTCCACCTACTTCTGCACGAGTATCACGCTGATTATTCCATCAACTAGGTAACTGGTACAAAGTCCCCATTGTGTCAAAGTACCTCGCCATTGAGCCCAACCACGCGACAACATGGTTATGTGTTCTGCCCTTTCTCATTCGCCAGACATTGATACGGAAAGCTACATTGAACAAAGACACACTGATGTCACTGCTGAGAAGAGATCCACATCATCAGCCCAGCTGGGTTCAGATGCCGAGCGGCAGATCGTCGTGAGTCGACAGTGGACGCACATTCAAGGCAGCGAGTTCCATCTAACTTCTTGATGGACCGAAATTCCCCATAGTCAGCGCTTACGCTCTTTTGTCCAACTTTGTGGGGGGAATGGTGTTTCGGTTGGAGCGCAAGTTGTCAATGCGACGTTGGACTAGCTCCTCTACATGCACAGGAAATCTTCGGCCAGTCCGGACTTTCGACGGAACCGAGACCAAGTTAGATTCATACTCTATCATAGTCTCCTCGTCAGTTCAGCGAGGCGGCAGGCACCAACAAGGCGCCATCTATCCGTGCCGTTGCCCGATAAAAGACGGCCTATCCGCCAGCCAAGCCCGCGTCTGACATAGAGCATGGGTAAAAGAGGGCCGACGTGCTGGAAGACCCGTGTCGATCACTTTAGGCGCCTTAATTTTTCCGGCAATAGATCATGGCGAGACATGGCCTATGAGTGCCTTGGACGGCCGAGACTTCTCCCCCCGTGGCTGACTGCTTGTGGTCAGCATTTACTCCGTAGAGGCCTGGAAATACGTATGGCTGATGAATGTGAGACATGGCTACTATGCTTTTGGAACCAGAGGCGGTGAGAGAATGCTGTTTCCCCCCAGAAGAGAAGGACGACGTGGAAAGCTTCGACGGGAGTTATCATAGACAGGTACACATGTGTGCGTGCTTGGGTCGTATCGGTCCATCGCCGGGCTCACGCATCTCATTCATACGGCGAGAATTACTCCACCTATACCGATGCGGCAATTCGTACCTTGGGAGCAGCAGTGGAGTTGAGATGTAGCTTTCCATAGCGTTGCCTTTGTTCGCTACGTTGTCATGTACGGTGACGTTGGTGACGTCTCTCGAAACAAACAATATGCGGGCTAATGCAGGTTCAATGCTGGCCGGTAGACAGTAGAGACAACCAAGGTACAGAGTACCGCGATAATAATCGAGTTATCGACTTATGGGCAACGATTACCTTGAGGCTTGGAGCTGGCACGCCATAACCGGTGTTTATCTTGGGCAACTTGTACAGGACCAGGCTTGTCATCCCCGACCCGTACTCTTGTACTACGGAATTTGCCCTGAAGCCTGTTGTTCCTCGCTAGCAGAATCTCCCATTGATATTCATCGATGCTATTTAGTCCCCCGCCATCCCCCGTCCCCGTTATACATCACCACCACCATCACAACCCCCCAAACATATAATCCTACACATAATGAAGTTGTCAATCATCACCTCTGTTGCTGCCCTCGCAGCTTCCACCTCGGCCCTGGGCATCAACTGCCGTGGCTCCGGCCTCTGCCCATCGGACGGCGCGGCCGGAAACCTCATCAACCTCAAGGCCATCGTGGACGGCATCCAGCCTCGCGATCGCAGATACAACACTGGCCAGCAGATTGCTTGCACCGGCTCTATCTGCGCCTTCTATCAAAATGGCGCCACCGGCACGGCTGGGCAGACGTCGGGCCTTCTCCAGGCCTTGCTTGACCACGGGTGCAAGAAGTGCGGCTCTGTGCCGACGCAGCCTGGGAATGATGTGAAGAATGGAGAGCTCACTGTTAATGTTGTTGGAGATCCTCACTGCCAGGGCGCCTGCTAGAAGTGTAGGACATGCCATGATGAATCTGAGTGGTGTTGGGACACTGTACGGGTTGCTTGTGCAGTTTGACGGGATGCGAACCGGGAAAAAGGACTTTGTGCTATACAATGGAACAATTACTCTGAACAGTTTTCACGATGAGCGTGCTATCAAAGTGTCGATCACATGGGACATTATTCTGTGAAACAGAGTGTTGTGAAATGCCTAAACTGTAATTCTCGACGCCGCGCCATTCAAAACTGTACTTTTCTCACTTCATGTTCGAAAAGAGTAGGCCAGTCACGTCAATGATGCGGCCGAGTGATGCCTCATCGACACGTTTATTAGTGGAATATTGGGAACTACTTCCGGGAGGCAAGTAGTATCCCGGCACGTTGAATGGAGCCGACGCACATACATTGACCATATCCTCGAAATGACCAGAGACAATGGTCCACGGACAAGTGCTGACAGACATCAAGGTTGCCCCTGTCACGGAAAAAAACACTGCGTCTTCCGGTAAGCACATGCAGTATTGGCCTGCCTGAGTCCTCGACCTATGACCCCCTGAGAAAGGAAGCTATTCCGAGATTTCACGCCGGTCACTTCTATGCCTCGGCTGTCAATTGGGATGTCACTAAAGCCAAACCAAGGAAAAATAGCATCGAAACTTGATAGCATCTACAGATCTACAACGCTTCACCGATCGAATCCTCCGTAAGCACTAGTATAGCGCGGCCCATGCAGCTCTCCCAAGGGTCATCATCGCCCCAGGTCACTCCAAGCTCGAGCGCCTCGCTGCCCGTTGCCTCTTTGCATGGGGTTGGTTCCTGGGTATCCCCTGCATTTCAACAATGACTGCCGGCCGCCACCGCACTTCCAGCCGCGGCAGAGACAAGCCACTGTCACATACTCGGCAATCACCACCATGAAATAGTAGTTACATACGGAGTACTACTCCGCACCACAAACGAGTCTCACCGATGGTCCGATGTCGAAGGAAGGAACCCTGTATAAGTGCTGCGCGGACAAGCCGACGCCACATGGGTCCCTTTTCTTTCTGGGGCCGCTGTACAACGTCGTCGAGGACAATTTGAACTCAACTTGGACAAGGAGCGTAGCTCAACGACTAGCTTATAGTTGGCGGGTTATAGAGAAGCCTTCCGATCTATGACGATGATCTACCGAAACTATTGGTGGGAAATAAGAACAACCCTATGTGGAGCTGGGAGTCAACTTGTCTTGTCTCTGAATCGGGGACATGGCTGTGGAGGAACCCGAATAATGGACATAGATACTTACCTGATTGAGTCCATTTCTCTATTAGGCAACTCGTAAGTGGTTTGTTGATCGGAAGTTGCCCACGCATCCTGACCATAGAGATAGTCGCCTCAGCTTCATATGTGACGGTCACAGAAACGGCAATCCGCATTCATGTTGGCGTATCATGTAGACATCGCGGCCCCAAGTACCGGTACATGACTTCGTACTGTTCTCGAGTATCCTTTCCATGCCGACGCTTGCTGGGTTCAAGTTGTTGTAGTTGCCGTTCCGCCTCCTAGCTGATTCCTCAACATAGTTGGTACGAGAAACACTGTTAGTTATACAGACTATTAAGCGACTCACAGAAGAATAAACATAAAAGCCCGCCCATTGCCGCCTTGTAATTCCTGCAAAAACGTCCCCAACACTTGCAAATTTCCAACTCATCCTCATCCTTAATACACCTCAGAAACCCATCAATATGCACTTCTCTTCCATCCTTTTCTTCATCTCCAGCGCCGCGGCTCTCGGCATCAACTGCCGCGGCTCCGGAGTCTGCTCCTTCAACGACGCCTCCTTGCAAGTCGTTCATGACCAGATCGGCAACTTGATTGCCAGCGGCGGCGGCGACCGCCACTTCAACCAAGGACGCAAGTCTCCCCATGACGAGTGCAAAACCCTCGCAGATTTGACTAACACCAGACGATAGAACAAATCGCCTGCTCCCACGGCTCCCAGGGCAGCGTTTGCGCCTTCTACCAGAACGGCGCTTCTGGCTCCGCCAGGGACGCGTATAGCCAGGTCCAGGGCCTGATAGACCACAAGTGCCGGCAGTGCGGCTCTATTCCTACCCAGCCCGGCAACGATGTTAGCAAGGGGGAGCTTACTGTCAACTATGTCGGCAAGCCGTGCTGCGAGGGGGACTGCCACTGCTGAGGGAGGTGTTCGAGTTTGTGTAAATGTCACGAGTTGAATAGTGTAAATAAAAGGGCTGGAATGCCTTGAATGATGGACGCTATGATTTTCTACAATGTACCTGGTTGGATTCAGAAGCCGTGCTTAGACGGCGGCTTGATGTGACGAAAACATGTAGTGGAGATGTAGTCCGATGTTCTCTGGAGATTCTCGTATCGTGTCTCAATAATGAAAGAAGAGCCATTATTTTCGAAATAACTTGGCTCATGATGATTATTTATCGTCTTGATAACAAGATGGTCAGTCTAGCACCATGGTCTGCGCTGGATTCGGGACATGTACAATATATACAACACTTGAGACCGCGGGCCGCCTCGTAGAAAAGAGATACCTCAGATGTGTCTTCCGCATCCGTCTCAGCTCCATGTCGTCACCCAGTGCCGCAGCGTAATGGAGTACGGCGGACGTGAAGGTCGTGAGTAGTGCAATCCGCGCCACGGTGAATGAAATGAACTATTATCCACCGCTAGTTGTAGTCAATCATAATACGTAGCGCTGTGAGACCAAGGGTGTCTTCTTTATCCAAATCCAAGGGAATGCTCTGCAGAGTTTCTTTCTTCTCACCTGAGGATGCGAACGTTGCGTGTACGCCATTGTGCTGGGATAATTCATTCTTGCCAAATGGGACCGCAAACAGAGAGCAATTTAAATACAAATGGTTCTGGAGATTCATGAAATAGCAATAACAATGTAAAAAGTACTCTTCCAACATGCTCATTTAACCAAAAACCTGCTTCGATAATCACCATCAGAAGTAGCTAATAACCCCCTGTGAATGTCAGCTCCAAAAGGTCAATACAATCTGTATACATATAAGGCAGGGCCTAGCCCCTGGCTCCCGACCTGTGCGCCCTCCCATGCCAAAACTTCTGGCGATTAATCTGATGGCCTTGTAAGTTTGTTCAAGATCGGGCTCACCGGTTGAAACCGCTCTCTGACTCTGCAGACTTCCTCCAACAATTGCTTGAACTGCAAACCCCCGTCCTTTTTGACCTCAAAGGCCAGCAGCTTGTCTCGGACGTCGATCGCCCTCGACCTGCCCAGCTCAGTTACCCTGCCAAGCGCAACTTGCATTGCCTCTTCCCATTTGCTGATGAGTTCGGCCTGTTTGAGTAGATATTCTTCCTCCAACTTCAGCACTTGATCTGCAAATTCTATATCCATGTAGATGGCCAGTCTGTTGCGGCAGGTGACGTCGGGAGGCTCAATTTCTGCACGGCGCGTATCGCCGGTTTTTGTTTCGCCCTGTCCAACCTTGCACGTCCGCGGCAGGTCCAGCTGGGTGACTTCTGCCATGTTGAGTACTTGGTCTGAAGAGTGTTTGGTGATTTTATTGGTAGACTTGCGGGCTGCATCCTGCGCGTCAACATGGTCTGGGTTGGGAGCTGGATCTCTTTCATCAGGGTCGATAATCTGGGTCTTAGCCAGCACGCCTTTAGTGCGTAGCCCTCTGAAGAACTCCTCCAGTTGCTCTCGGTCGACACCATAGGGGCTCTTGACTAGGTTCTTTGGTGAGGGGAGATCATGGTCAGATTCGGATTCATTGCTGAGTTTGGGTAGTCGAGTGGCGTCGCTTGTCGAAGACCGGCGCGAATTAATATCGCTAGTCATCTTTGTATATAGGTTACTGGGTACAGGTTTTTCCTACTTCACAGTTCTGGAACACCTGTAACTGGAAATTTCGAGAAGTGATGATAATATATGAAATCTGAGTCGGAAGCCCGGAGCCTGACTTCTCGTTGTCGACATGCAGATATGCCCAACACGACGGTCTCACGACGGTCTCTCAAGGCAATGAAGTGGGTCATGCAAGACCTTCCTCCTTCTCAATCATGAGAAACTTGCATATGCTTGGCAGCCAAGCTTGAAGTCACCCAGCCTGTCCAAAGTATCGGGGAGCATGTAGAAAGCGCCATGTATCGTGCATCCGTCAGCCACATATTCTCCACTGTCGCTAGAAAGAGTGTCTCAGTCAGCTTTTAAAGCTGTTTCATGTACGGAGTAGTAGAAAACATCTACGTGAGGTGTTGTGAGCTTCCACCCCATATCGAGAACACGGTCTGTTTAGTGGAAATCGTCCCACGACGCGGCTTCGTGATCCAAAGACACCGGTGTTGAACAATTGAAAGGTAAGTACCCGAATATTCTTCCGTACCAAGGGTACTTAGGACGATCAGCTGATGGACTTGCATGCTGTGCCGACCTAAATACGATGCGGCAAGCCACAGCTTGTTTTATAGGTCAGGAAAGGGCAATATCAGCACCAAGACCACTGATCTCCGATTTGAAATAAAGTAGTGGAGATTAAATAGCCGAGGACTGCCTAAATATATCGTACAGTGGGTATCATAATTTGCTAATGGTTCAGTATAAAGTCGTATAATTCTCTCAGAGATTCATGACCAACGTTCTTCAAAAACGCCGGTTGTTCGGTATCAGAAATGGCCACCTCAACCACTTTCCTGATAAGAGCACTAATATCGTTGCTGTGCCTGGCCATGCCGCTACGTTGCAGAGAGGCGGAGTCCAGTTTGGAGGTGACGGCATCCCAAAGGTCGTGCCATCGATCTATGGCACGGAGCAGAGCGGGGGCTGTTGCAGGCATGGTGCCATTCAAATGAGCCGAGACAGCCATGGAACTCAATGCTATGCATGTTTAATGTCCGCTTTGTTGTCGCAGGGATGATTGGAAGTCTTACCCATGGTAGCTGCTCGGAGGTGGGATAGTTTGAGGCTGGTGACTGGAATAGGTTGGGCCTCATCCCAATTGTCCTTCATTAATAGTTCGATAAATTTACATATTGAGGAGAAGCACATTGGTGGAGGCTGGTACTTTAACTCCTTTACTTTCGCTTCGAATTGCTCGGAGTTGGTGGCATCCCACAGTTCTAATGGACACGGCATGTCGCAATCGACTTCTTTGATGGACGTCTGCGGCGGTGCATGAAACATACCACTTTGATGCCAATCAGATATTGCGGTCCAAAAACCAATTCTATTCGAGTCCGTTAGTGCCTTCTTGTTGATACAGAGGGTAAATATACCATACCGGATGCACAACTCTTCATACAGGAATTTCTCCCAAATCAACGTCCCAGAATGCTTGTACTGATTTAACCCCAACTGCCGCACCGCCGACACCAAAGCAGGAAGCCTGACTGACAAATTTCTTCGTCGCGTTTGTGCATCGTTTCTCATAAATTGAACATTGTGGACGATTATCGCAGCCTGTAGTGCATACAGCATTTTCTTGCTCGGTTTGGAGAAAACCTCGGTGAACAAAAGCCCTTGCATATGCCGAAAGATGTAGTCTTCTGCAACAGTTAAGAAGTATCGTGACGATAATGTATCGTCCCGTGGTGCGGAGCGGAGTGTACCACCTAGCGCGACTGCTAAAACTAAGACTGCCGGTGTATCTTCATGACCAAATGATGGAATATGTATGAGAGGAAAATGTATGTGACTTAGGCGAAAGAAAACAGATATAAATCGAGCAAGATTATCTGACGAAAAGATAGAGTGCGCTAGATCTTCGTGGTACATTTCGGTATATGTTGGATCGTATTCCTCTAGAAATTTGTGACTTTTGCCTAACTCGCGAATAATCTCATCTGAGACATGCCGTAATCTCTCTAGACCTTCCAGGGTAAACGCTGGCACTGCTGCGCTTAGTTCGGAGGATGTCGAGGTTTCGTCGGAAGTACTGAAATCGCTGAATTCATCATCCAGAAGAGACACGAAACTCCAAGGAGCAAAGTTTCCGCCATCCATGGTCATCATGGGCAGAGAAAAGTCAGGCAAATTGGGCAGATAGTCAAGGTCTGGTACCTTGTCATTGACAGCTTCGTCATTAGCAAAGTATTCCAGCATTGACTCAGTATCAGGGTTGACAACACCCTTCAAAAACACAGAGTTGGAGACTGGAACCCTGGTATGAGCTTGGCCTGCGGACTCAGACTTGAAGTAAGCTGCATCTTGTTCAGAGCAACCCGAGTCGAAGACGTCCCGAAAACGACAAGTCAATCCGCGGGAAACACAGCGCGAGCAAGGTGTCGCCTTGTCGCACAAAACTTTACTTTGGTAACACGATTCGCAAGCACGCGGTTTTTGGCCACGGCGGAATTCGGGTAAACTCTTCTCTTCATCTTTTCTGGCGCAGCTCAAGGTGTGTTTGCGGCACACGTCGCTGTGAAGATGTGAGTGGATGCCGCATGAATAGATTCGAAAGGGAAGATGAGAGGCATCGCCTACCCTCTAATAAAGCCTTTGCTGCAATATTGACATTTGAAACGAAAAGTGTTTACGTCTGTGGAAGGGTTTAGCTCATGTGCCAACAGTGCGATTGCGGCTGTGACAGGTAATTGGCTGAGCATGGTTGGTATTGTGCTATTGATGTTGAGCTCAGCATGGAGTGATGGAATCATTGATGGGAAAGGATGGCTATGGCTATGGCCAATAGAATCCTGGGAGGGGGGGAGAGATTTAGAAGGAAGGAAAGCTGCTCCCTACACAACGGAAGTTGGGACTGGGAAGAAACCAAGTAAAACATTTGACATCAACAACGAGTACTCACGGGTTGCTTCATGTCGTCGAAGATGAGTGTTCCTCTGATATCTCTTCCCGCAAGTCTCGCAAACATACGCTTTCAGGGTTGGAGCCCCAGCCGCTTGATCATTGACCAGCTCCATACCCGGCAACAGCCCAGACACACCTGACGTTTGTCGTGGAGATAATCGAATGGCTGACGTACGGGCTCCTGTTGCAGTACACGGGGCTTGGCTCTGATGGATGTGGATGGCAGGTGGGTTTTCGCCGATGAGCATTTGGTGATGTTTGCGTGTCGGCGAGGTGGGTTTTCACCTGGAGGACGAGGCTCACATGGCGCTATGCCCTAAATGGACGACAAATGACCATGTCAGAGGTAAGCTTGAAACCTGAGGATATAGAGCGAGGGCGCCATGCAGACCAAATGCTTTTTATTTTCCGGACGTCGAATCTTTGCAGATATCTATAGAAAAGATTCCCTAATTACGGGTGAATAACGCCTAGGAGATTGGGAGTGACTGTGTGGACATCTGAGCCGCACAGCTTGTGTAAGTCAAGCGTTACTGAACACCGGGGCGGCTTCTAACATGGCATGGAATTAGATTTACTCTTGAAAATCTCCAGGAGATTAGTGGAATTTTCTCCATCGACCAACAAGACGAGAGAGAGGACGAAACAGAACAGGATGAAGCTCTCGGTTCCCACGATGCCTCTCGCCGCAAGACTGCCAGGTATGCTTGCCCAACTATATTGGCATGGAACTAAGGCAGAGCTGACCGAGGCTGAGTGTTAATGTATGTTAATGCTGGACGATTGGCCGTACCTAAAGGCTTAGCAAGGCCAATTGCTTCGCTAATGTCTACTCGGGGATTACACAACCCTCGAGTTCTCAAGAGCGCTGCGCCAAAACTTGATCTTCAGCAAGACCTAAAACCATCATCCTTGGTAGAAAAGGAAGAATCGTCAACTGCCGTCGAACATGTCTTGTAAGGCTCCCGGATGCAACCGAACTTGACGCAATGGCACGTCATTTACACCAGGCACCGAACTTCTGCTCACACCTACCAGAACAACATTAGACTCCCTAGTAAATTGGGCTCGCCAGGGCTCTCTATGGCCTCTTACATTCGGTCTTGCCTGCTGTGGTGTCGAAATGATGCACGTATCGATGCCTCGCTACGACCAAGACCGACTTGGCATCATATTCCGCGCCTCTCCTCGCCAAGCCGATGTAATGATTGTGGCGGGCACTGTTACGAACAAGATGGCGCCGGCGGTAAGGCAGTGCTATGATCAAATGCCTGATCCTAAATGGGTTATCAGTATGGGCAGCTGCGCGAACGGAGGAGGATACTATCACTACAGCTATTCTGTTGTACGAGGCGTGGACCGCATCATCCCCGTTGATGTGTATGTGCCTGGCTGTCCACCGACGGCAGAGGCGTTGATGTACGCCATATTTCAGCTGCAAGCAAAAATGCGCCGCACCAAGATTACGAGATTGTGGTATCGGCGATAGAGGGCGCGATTCGGCACCTGGAAGTAGATTACGCGGCGCTGTGAGACTGGTGATGGCGGGAGAGGTCTGTTGATGTAGTAGCGCCTAGTAGTTTCGGACTTTCAATGCTGTACAGAATGTTATTTGACTTCCAAGGTTGTCAAGGCCTACCGAGACCAAGCAGACCTGGTCGGATATGATATCACATCGACTGATAGACCAAGAGGGTGCAGCAGGCATGTTGAGTTCCTCCAAGCTTCTAGAAGGAAATGCGACCACATGCAGAGGAGCCTTGCACGTCTGTGATTACCACGTTAGACGACCAGTGTCTTTAACGTTGGTGGTCGGCCCAGCATCATCAGCACTTGCCCAAAATTGAAACGGGCCTTGGGTACCTCGATTTGTCCGATGCCGCAGAGCGAAACACGGAGAAACCCGAGGGCCGTCCTTGCGGGCTTTTGGGCCTTGACCTTCAATGTTAGTGCCGAGGGCCCAGTTTTTCTGTACATGCACGCACCGTCATCAAGCACCGTCAGCATCAGGTCCTGCGTGGCGTCAGATCCACTGTCATGTCGTCGTCCACTGTCATGTCCAGCCCCCTCCGCTCTTCCTCCATGCATGTGTCATGTCCGCGCTTCGACGACTTTCTCCCCGCCAGGCGGCTCCGCAAAGCGCTGACATCGAAAGGATGCAGCTTTGGCTTGGACATCCCGAGCAACCATTTTGCCGCTGTTCTTGCCCCCTTTGCCTGCCTCACAAGCGCCAATTCCAGATACCACAGCTTCGCTTTGCTTCATGTCATGGTACTCGACAGCCAATCTCTTGAGGGCCCCCCGTCACTGCAGCACATGACGCAAAACGGCTACATTGTCGCTCCCGCCGCAGCCTCGGCAGTGCCCCGCGCACTCCCCGAGATTTGCTACACGTTGCGGCGGAAAGTGATAGCGTTCCTGGAACAGCAGCCCGCCGATAACGATGTCGCACTGAAGAACACGCAGAAGCAGGCGAGGGCTTCAATCAAGATTGTCGAAGAGGCCTTGCGCCGGTATCAGTGAGTAGGCGCATTTTGACACTCCAGCGCTCTCGCCATCCCCCTGTCCAAGTTACCGAGGAAGCTAACCACGCCATCACTGCCAGGCCCGACGAACTGTCTCTCTCATACAATGGAGGCAAAGACTGTCTCGTCTTGCTCGTCCTCATCCTGGCCTGCCTGCCGGCCCTGTACGATCCCTCAATCACAACCAACGGCGACGGCCCCGTTTCCAAGAACCCGCCGCCGACCATCCAAGCTGTCTACATTGCGCCGCCCGATCCCTTCCCCGAAGTCGAGGAATTTGTTTCAAGTACCACAAAGGAATACCATCTGGATTTGACTCGCTATGCGCTGCCAATGCGGCAAGCCTTGGAGGCGTACCAAGCCGACAAGCCCGCCGTCAAGGCGATTTTCATGGGCACACGGCGCACCGATCCATTCTGCGAGTTTCTCACTGGATTCAGCCCCACGGATAAGGGCTGGCCGCAGTTTATGAGAGTGAACCCTGTTTTGGACTGGCACTACACAGATATTTGGACCGTGAGTGATCCCCCGTGACGACAACAATCTCCAAAAAGACACAAGCCTGACCTGTGGCCATTAGTTTATCCTCCGCCTTGATATTCCCTTCTGCAGCCTCTATCAACAGGGCTACTCATCCCTTGGCGGCGTCAAAAACACCCGCCCGAACCCCGCTCTTGCCGTTGGCTCCGAAGGGACTAAGTTTCGACCAGCGTATGAACTTGTCCGCGATGACGAAGAGCGCTTAGGCCGCGACAAGTAGACTATCTACCGGAGAGCAAATAATGATATCATGATGGCAAAATGTGGAGAATCCAGTAGAGGCGGACAAGACAGACCGCAAACTGAATTGCGGCCGAGGAGTTCCGAGTCCTTCTTTACGTGCTGATTTTGCGCAGACTATTTGGATCGTTGTTGGCAAGACTTGCTTACTAAACTTCCAGTGTATATAACATAGAGCATAGAACATCACGGCGTTGAATACGATCCTGTTCTAGATCTTTCTGTTCACCTCTCAGAACAACCTCATTGTCTTCACGTCCTGTCAGGATAGCTGTGCCCCCCGGCCCCAGACTTCCAGCCATGGAGACAGAGTCTTGAATCACTTATAACCGATTTGGTCTTGAAAAATCTTGTTGCATATCATATGGCAGTCCCGAAAAGTGGTATGTCCGTTTCAAGGATATTACTAACAATTTTGTTATGCTCTAGTGTTGCAGCTTCTGGGAAGGCGGCCGGTGGCCTTCGTCTTCAGGAATCCTTGCATCGAGCTACCAGTCAGCGACCACTTAGTTGCCAACTGGTAATTGAAAAACTCACAGTATGGACTGCTGCAAAAGGCAAACCGTAAGACCACGCGATAAATTATTTGCAATGCACTTGGCTGGCATTGGACAATCCGGCACATACAACAGTCAATATACGTGACATGGAAGCTAGAGAAGCCCGTTGCAATGACACCGTCAAGTTTCAACAGCCGGCAGGAGGGCCAGATAGGATCAGCGGTTGACTCAGTACCAAGATTCTAACTGAGAGCCGTCGATTCAACAATCATTTCTCCATCAGCCGCCTGTTCATCTGTGATCGTGACCACCAATAAAATGCACCGAACGCCATCGTCGATAACGAGTTCTTCGTTACTATTCATAAAAAAACTTCTAAAACAGCTTCGGCCTCTGTTTCTTGGATGAACGAACTCTCGGCAATTTTGATTCAGCTTCTCAAGGCCTCAGGGGAGGTCTTTGTCTATCGAAACTGCATTCGTACCACCTTTCACCTGGACTTGATATCAAACAAAGAGGCTTCCTGGCCGGGCAGCACAAGGTCGTCGCTTGGTGACTGGAGCTTGATGTCTGAGCGTCGGCAATCATATGGTGAGAAGCAGCCTGGGTTCCAGCCAGACACCGTTCGCAACGAGACTGAAGAGGCCTCGGCTATCATAAACAGCTGGCAGACGCAGATAAATTCTGTGTTCAAGCTTCTCCGGTCCTTGCTCTTCCCCGTCTTCCGCTCTTCAACTCTCCAGTTAAAACCGGCTTTTTGTTGTAACCCTGACCACAGCATCTTCCCAGAGTTGCTGAGGAGGATACATCTGCGGCGAATATCCTTAGCAGATGGGGCAAGATGGCTCATGATGTTTTGCCTGGATGTATTCTCCTTGCGTACGTATGACACGGCCGGGCATTTGAACAGTGCTACATAGACCGCGTCACATGAGGGCGCAGCTCCCCATTCACCCAGTGCTACCAAGCAGTTTTCCTCCGTGGAGCACAAATGAAATATTCAAACAAGCTGTACATCCTTCCTCGGTATACTGTGCCCCTCGGGAGACATGTCTATTCAAATATAGAGACACCCGGGCCGCGTTAATGCTGCGCGTACATGCAAACGCGGCTTCCATGAGGAGTCAAGCAGGGTCGAGGCGGGCCCGGTCTCGATTTGATAGCCCCGAAATCGTTCCCCAGCACCTCAAAGTGCCTACCTGGCTTTCTGATGAGCTGCCATCAACGATGCTACTGGGACCGGACCTATATCGGAACTAAAGGGCCCTCTCGATGGCATCGAGGAAGTATGGATAAGTACAATTCTAGCCTTCAGGCGAGCATGATGAGTTTATCAGTTTAGAGGCACGAGAGTCTGGACAGTCTCTTCTCTCCCGCTTGTTTATCCCTTCGAATGTGCGCAGGTCCAATTTTTGTAACGGACCAGGGTTCTAGCTAATAATAATTACTTATTTAAAAGATATATATACTTAGAAATCCCCTCCGGAAGAGGTAAAACCGCCAATACAGATTTATTTGGCAGCTTTGGCCTTGTAGGCCTTTTTGGCCTTTTTGGCCTCTTTGGCCTTGGCTTTGCTAGCCTTATTAGCCCCTTTTATGGCCAGTCTCACAGCTTCCTTAGTGCTACGCTTTAGTTCAGCGTTTTTGGAGGCCTTTTTTTCTAAATTCCTGATTATCTTTGTAACCTCTTTGATTTCCTTAAAATTAGTATTTTTGGCCTTAAGGCAGGTATTCCTTCTACTATAAAGGGCTTCTAATCCGTTA